TGACGGTTCCGTATAGGATACAGGTTTGATTCCTGTCGGCGGACGCATATTTTCTATGAAAATTTCTCAGACATTCAGACCGGTAAATTTTGTTAATACTGTTTATTATAAACAGAGCATTTACTTAAATATTTGTATCTCTAAAAAGAACGTATAAACATAAAAATATCTTAATATATATATATATATATATATATATATATATATATATATATACACTGATGCAGACAACATTGCAATCACTGCACCTGTTGTCTTCATCACAGTTTGGAATTCAGCGTTTACCTTGTCTTAGACTGGTTAGCACCCAAGGCTAGACGAACCAGCCTACTATCTTATTTAGCGTAAAACTGAGGCGGAGGAGGGGAGTTAATTACAGTTTAGATATATGAAAAAAATTACATCCGTAAAAAGAAAGACATAGATTAACAGTGACTGAAAGATATAGACTAACAGTGACTCCATGGCTAGATTGCAAATAGGTGTAAAAGTGTTTTTACTTTTAATCCTGCTTTGGTGTGACCTAACCCTAGGCCTCACCCCCGTGCTATCCTGTGACGATCTAACCCTTGGCAGATTCGGATGGAAATCTGGTTAGATTCGGCATCAGCTTTGTCGTTCCCAGCTCGCCTCCAACGTCTGGTTACCGAAGTAACTGCTTTGATTTCTAGTCTAACCTACCCACGGTGTGATTTGATCTTAGGTAGACGAAATCAATCAATCACCTTTGCTCGAATTCGTGCAAGCCGAATTCGAGCAAAGGTGACACCGCACAAGTATATGTAAAAGAAAATAAAGTAACAACTCGAAAGATTCAAATGTGTTAAAAACAAACAAACAAGTACCTTTCTCATATTGCTATCTCATACCAATCTCCTCAGAGGGCGTCAACAGGTTTCCCTTCTTTCTCCAATTGGTATCTCACACCGATCCCTTCAGAGGCGTCAACAGGTTTCCGTTCTTTCTCATATGTTACCTTCGCCCATCGCTCACGCCACCATTCAGCCAATGAACGCACGGTAGTGTGGGTGTGGCTAGACTGGCCTCAGTTTACAATTATCGCTCAAATAAAAAAATATCTTCCTTTTTCTTTTCTTTCTTTTCCCCGACTATAACCCCCACGACTCGTATGTGGCCATTAAATCCCTATCTTAACTGAATATCATCTGAGATTCATCAACGAGATTTTCGCCAAGTGATTATCTGGGTGGCAAAGTAAATCTCCCTCAACGGCTTCGTACTTCTGTCGCCAACAGTCTGTCCAGGTAACAAACTTTTATCATGGCACGGTCTGGACATAAAACAGGTGGTTCCCTTCCAAAACCAAATGATATCTCCGAAAGATAGTTAATGGTTTATTCTTTTCCTTTGACTCTTCTTCCTTCCTTTTTCTTTGGGGTGGTCTCAGCTGATCCTTTTCTTGGTCGCATGCTCGAACCATTTCTGATTATCTTCTAGCATTCCGCTTTGTAATCCACTTGACCAATTTGAAATTTTCATTATTGCCATGGGCAGATTGCTATCTTTTATTCGCCGCGTCATGGCATAAATTAATTCTGACAGATCCGAGGTCTTACGAATTTCCTATCTTCTGCGAAAAAAAAATACTTTTCTTCGCAAATGAAAATAAAATCTTTACCACTTTTCTTTTGTTAAAAAGAATAACATCGCTCAGTATGTCTATCGTGATAGCTTCTTCACGCCTTAAGTATTTCTCGCTTTTAATTTTCACGCTTAATTAATTAGCCAAACGCTAAATAGTCTCACATTGGTAAGAATACATAGAATTGTGGATTGTGGAAGCAGCGATGAACCTATCTGTCAAAATTAACCATATTTCTACTATAAATTCCTATACTTCATCGAATTCGGCTCAGCTGGTTTTTTTAACGGCATATCAACCGATTTATGGGTAATTTACTGCCGAAATTTAATTTCCCGAGGAGCTTTGAATTAATAAAAATATGTTATTCTGCTTTCACAGTTGAATACATGGTAGATGATACTCCGCTTTTGTGTATATACTAGCTTGTGCGGACAATTACTAGAAGCATTGATAGGTAAGTTTTTTGTTGTAGTTTTGTTGAGGTTATATTTGGAATACAGTTTGATTTAAAAAATCGTAGAATTTTATATGGATTAATGTCATGAAAGAGTTCTTGTTGGTTGTTTAGTTGGTTGATTTTGTTTAGCAGCATCAAATTCTATCGGTTATTTAATATCAAAATCTAAATATTTTGATCGCAATTGCACGCCTTCAACAATCGATGAAAATGTATTATTGGTCATTTTGCTATAAATAGGTTTGGTTGGTAATTTTAATATAAAAATGTACTGCTTATGTTCGTCTTTCTTTGGAGGTTCACTATTTATCCATAGACGGAATCCTAACAGGTGCTACCACCCAGGTCAGAGTAGACCTGGGTTTTTTGGTTTATTTTGTTTTACGGCATATCAACCTCAATGGATTATTTGATGCCGACAACACTTTTAGGATAGATTCGTATGAATAGAATATGTATTCTTTGGTTTAGATTGGTTTGGTTTATTTTTTTTCACGGCATATCAACCTCAATGGGTTATTTAATGCCGAAAACTTTTTTTTTGATAGATTCGTATGAATAGAATATATATTCTTTGGTTCAGATTGGTTTGGTTTATTTTGATTTACGTCATAACAACCTCAATGGGTTATTTAATGCCGACATTTTTAGGATAGATTCGTATGAATAAAATATGTATTCTTTGGTTTAGATTGGTTTGGTTTATTTTGTTTTACGTCATATCAATCTAATGGGTTATTTAATGCCGAAAACATTTTTTATTTCTGGTAATATTTTCTTTTGTCAAAAATCTGTTTCTGGCAATATTTTCCCTTTAAAATCGTATTGCTGGTAAAATTTTTTTCAAAAATGTATTGCTGTTAACAGTTAACTCTTTGCCTATATCTGGAACCCTAATAAGTGCTACCACCCTGGGTCAGGGTGGACCTGGGAACACCAGCAATTAAGAGGTGGTTCCACGCTCCTAAAAACTCCTGATCAGAGGCCTTGCTACTGGATGTAGTTTATCGTCTTACCCAGGATGCAGATGTAGTTTAAGGTCTTACCTAGGACGAGAGTGGACCTAGAACAACGGCAATTAAGAGGTGTTTCTACACTTTTCAAAACTTCCAATCTCCCGTCTTCATAGATTTAGAAAATAGGTATAATTTTTTTTCGTACTACAAGGAAAAACGATTACCGATCTTCTTATTCGAACACTGACATACCAGTGACGAGATATTTGTCAAAATATCCGGTTGAAGCATATGAAGAAAAAGGTGGGAATCGAACTCGTTTTGACGGTTTCATTTGCTCGACAGCTGAACGGGACACAACCGCATACTTGTTTGACTATGAATGGATCCTGGGTAAATGGATCAAGACGATGCACCCCATTTCTGGACGTTCTGTGAAATCATGTTTTTTTTATTATTCCAATACAGGAGACAAACTGACTGCATGCAGATAAACAAGAAGGTTAGTAAGTAGACAAAAATAGAAAAAGGAAGAGAATGCTTTCTCTTTTGGATTTATTCAGCTTCTCTACGCCGAGGTTATTTACTCAACATCCCTTCGTGGCCAGAGGTGACACGCGGTTTTTTTTTTAAATGTGGGACTGCATTTGGCTAATCCAATAATTGCCCACTCTATTCGACCACTGTTACCCTGGCGTCGATATTCCAACCACCCTCCCTTTTTTTAGTGCAATGAAGGAGGTGCAGCCGCTGGATTGGAATCCTGGGACCGCGTATCCTCATCATTAGTTATAAGGCAAACCGATACTACAATTTGATCCTGGCATCGAGTCGATCATGAAAATTAGAAAAAAACAGACAGGATTTAATATTTATGGACACCATCTTAACAACACAAGACATTAAGATATTGCAAAAGTTCGTGCCAGATTAGTAGATTTTATAAATTCACAAAAACATTTATTAGTCAAGTACATAGTTTCCATTGTTTTTTTTTTTTTTAAATCTGTCCCCCATTGTTCTACAAGCCCGTGGGTGCTATTTTATCTTAGAAACTTTGTGCTTTTTGTTGAATGAAGGTTGTGAGTTAGTTTTTCGACTGACTGTACAGAGTCAAATATTTTATAGTTTAAAATGTTCTGTAGAGACCAGAACAAATAAAAATCCAAAGAATCCAAGTCAGGACAATACGGTCCGTGCGGGAGAGTGAGGGTCTTATTTCATCTTTTAACCTTCTGCAAGTTCTGTTTTGTAACATTGCGTTGTCGTCGCGGAAAATGGCATCTTTTCGATTTGACAAAAATCGACCGTTCCTCCTGATGGTACAGACAGAACCTTTTTAAATTCCAGTTACGAAATATGTCTAAACCAGAACCTCTTCTGTGCTATTCAGAAGACTACTTGGCTCATCATGAAATTTTGACTTGCCACATCTTAAATATTAAGGAAAAGCATATTGTATACTATTCAAACATACAATACTAAACGAGTTTTACCACGGGCAGAATAATTGTGCAACGAGGAAGCGTAAAGGAAAGTAGAGACTACAAGAAAACATATACAGGGTGACCCCAAAAACGGGAATTTTTGAAGTGCGTATTGCCAGACATGAGCATGTGGTAACACTGCGAGACAGTGACCTTGAGCAAGTAAACATTTCGCCATTTAGAATTCAAGATGAGATGTTGCAGCAGTCAATGAGGAATCTCAACAGCAGATTTCAAGAATGCATCCGTACAGGAGGACGCCATCTACAAAAAAAAAAAAAATGAAAAAATGAAAATTCCATCATTGTTTCTTAAATGGCATGTTTTAAGGTTTCAATTACTATGAATAAAATATTTTCTTCCATCACTCTTGGTTTTATTGGATTGTTAAAAAGTTCCCGTTTTTTGGGGTCAAGCTATACTTACATTGAGGAATATAATGTTGAAATTTCTGGGGTATGAGTTTGAGCAAATGGATACCAGATAACCGATCAATGACAAAGACGGATGGTAAAGGTATGAATGGTGGTAGCATGTATATATATATATATATATATATATATATATATATATATACACACACACACACACACACACACACACACACATATATATATATATATATATATACAGGAAAATCCGACACTTGACAAAGCCGCCGCCTTGACCTTCCTCGACTCTTTTGAGGCATTCGTGATGATAATGCGGTGAGACTTGCGCTAGGAGTAACCAATGTCCTTCTTGCTCTTTCGGCAGATCGTCGACTTGTGACAGCCCATGTCAGCGGCGATCTTGGCGTAGCTCTGGCTTTCATCATTGTCAACTGTCTCCTCGACGGCGGCGAGGAACTCGTCGGTTCTAACGGCCAAGGAACGAACGTTGTGGGCCTTTCGTTTGGCAGTAATCTCACACGCCTTCCACTTACTCTAAACTCCCATGACCATGGTTCTCTTGAACCCAAACCAGGTCATCACTTCCGCAGGCTTCTTTCCGACACGAAAAGAAGCTACTACCGCTGCTCTGCGCTCGTATTCCATCCTTGAAAACGGTAGAGAGAAAAATGTTAGTTAGTTGACAAACTGTCGGGTCTCAGCATATACAACTTTTGTTTTTATTGCCTATTTCGTTTTCTTTTTGTCAATTGTGGATTTTGCTGCAACACCCTGTAAATAATATCATGGGTAAAAAGCCCTAGTATAGATATATTGGTGAATCTTTTACAAAAATTGTTAGATAAATATGCTAACTTCTAGGAGAGTGAAACACGTCTTTTCAGATTAACGTTTCCAGTTGACATGAAGTCGAAAGAGTAGATTGAATCAATTGCTAAGAAATTTTTTATCATCCGAATTTATCTTACATATTTATAAGTCTACCATTCGTCAATGCTTTGAATATTGATGCCCATTCTGGATTGTTGTTTCTGCTACATATTTAGAGATTCTTTATAGAATCAAAAGAAGAATTTGCAATTTTATTGGCCCTGATCTGGAATCTCGCCTTAACGTAGATTCCGTGTATCTTTTTTATAAATGCTTTCATGGTAATTGTTATGATGAACTTTCTTCAATGTTACCTAGTTTTTATGGATTTAAGCGCAGTACTAGATTGGCAGCTAGGTCTCATCATGTTAGAGTTGGAATAGCTAGATGTAACCGTAAGTTCTATGCTGATAGTTTCATCTAGCCCACGTCTCACCTGTGGAACTATTTTACGGCTTCTTGCTTCCCAGTCAATTTTGAATTTTAAAAATTTAAATGTAATATCAATCGTTATCTTTTGTCTTCATGATTTCTATTCTTTAATAGTCGACTCTCCATAATAGTAGGTTTCTCATATTCTCTAACACTTATTAATCTTTTGCGTCCTAGTGGCTTTGTTGCCTTGTTTGGGGTGAATATATATATATATATATATATATATATATATATATATATATATATATATATATATTAAATTTACTATTTTTGTAAATACCGTTTGTTAAAATATATGTTGAAAACACAACTATACTTAAACATGAAAACAATAAACAAAAATTAAAAATTCTTGAAGCTATGTACATGAAACATTTGAAACCTAATAATAATTTGATAATGTGTGACGCCATTTGTTCATATTTGGATACGCCATGAGCAGATATGAATGTACATGAGAGAATCATGGGAGATTGTAGTTTAAAGACAGTAAAATCGACCTTGCTAACCGAACGCTCCTCTGTAGCCAAATTCCTATACGGAACCATCATTTAATGATGGTTCCGTATAAGATACAGGTACGATTCCAGTCGGAGGACGAATATTTTCTATGAAAATTTCTCGGACATTCAGGCCGGTAAATGTAGTTAAATACTGTTTATTATAAACATAGCATTTACTTAAATATGTTTATCTATAAAAAAATGTATAAACAGAAAAAAAGTCTTAAAATAATCGGTTTATTCTACTTATCTTCTAACGTCTAAAACTCAAGCCAAATAATATTGTTCAAGTTTCTTAGTAATTCAAATATCGTAAGTGACCATTTCTTCAATGAATTTGCGTCTGGCCAAATTCTATATCAGCACCTTGTATCAGTAAAACAAAACAATCCGCAGTGTTATGGAATGGAACTATTATCAGTATCAGTGATATTAACAATTTCCTTGTAGCATTTAATTCGCATAAAAATTTAAGAATAAACAGTGTTTTATACTCAAACTTTAAAAAATGCCAAATATAAACAATGTTTCCGTTGATAAAGTTTTCAGCATATTGATGTAGAATAAATTCATATCTAATTGGTAAAAATCATCTCGTATATTTTAAAAAATCAATGCAAATGATCTTGTATTAAATAAATATGTCTTGTTTTGTTTAAATTTTTTATTTTAAAATCAGACATGAATATTCTATTTAGATTATTCGGACTATTGTTCTCAGATTTATCGCCATTTTTATTACAACGTTTCGGCCTTTCAGTATTTGCCTATATTTCTGAGATGAGGCATTATGTACACTATTTACATTATTCGGACTATTGTCCTCATTCTTGTCGTCATATTTATTACAAAGTTTCGACCTTTCAGAATCTATCTATATTTCTGAGATGAGGTATTACGTACAATATTTACATTATTCGCACTATTGTCCTCATCATTGTCGCCATATTTATTTCAAAGTTTCGGCCTTTGAGTATCTGTCTATATTTCTGAGATAAGGCATTATGTACACTATTTACATTATTCGGACTATTGTCCTCATCCTTGTCGCCATATTTATTGCAACGTTTCGGCCTCTCAGTATCTATCTATATTTCTGAGATGAGGTATTACATACACTATTTACATTATTCGGACTATTGTCCTCATCTTTGTTGCCATATTTATTGCAACGTCTCGGCCTTTCAGTATCTGTCTATATTTCTGAGATGAGGCATTATGTACACTATTTACATTATTCGGACTATTGTCCTTATCTTTGTTGCCATATTTAACACAATGTTTCGGCCTTTCACTATCTGTCTATATTTCTGACATGAGGTATTACATACACTATTTACATTATTCGGACTACTGTCCTCATCTTCGTTGCCATATTTATTGCAACGTTTCGGCCTCTCAGTATCTGTCTATATTTCTGAGATGAGGTATTATGTACACTATTTACATTATTCGGACTATTGTCGTCATCCTTGTCGCCATATTTATTACAACGTTTCGGTTTTTCAGTACCTGTCTTTAGTTCTGAGATGAGATATTATATACACTATTTACATTATTCGGACTATTGTTCTCAGATTTATCGCCATTTTTATTACAACGTTTCGGCCTTTCAGTATCTGTCTATATTTCTGAGGTGATGCATTATGTACACTATTTACATTATTCGGACTACTGTCCTCATCTTTGTTGCCATTGATGCATTATGTACACTATTTAGATTATTCTGACTATTGTCCTCATCCTTGTCGTCATATTTATTACAAGGTTTCGGCCTTTCAGTATCTGTCTATATTTCTGAGATATGGCATTATGTTCACTATTTACATTATTCGAACTATTCTCCTCATCTTTATCGCCATTTTTATTACAACGTTTCGGCCTTTCAGTATCTGTCCATATTTCTGAGATGAGGTATTATATACACTATTTACATTATTTGAACTATTGTTCTCAGATTTATATCCATTTTTATTACAACGCTTCGGCCTTTCAATATCTGTCTATATTTCTGAGATAAGGCATTATGTACACTATTTACATTATTCGGACTATTGTACTCAGCTTTGTCACCATATTTATTACCACGTTTCGGCCTTTCAGTATCTGTCTATATTTCTGAGATGAGGTATAATGTACACTATTTACATTATTCTGACTAGTGTCCTCATCCTTGTCGTCATATTTATTACAAAGTTTCGGCCTTTCAGTATCTGTCTATATTTCTGCGATATGGTAATATGTTCTCTAGTTAGATCCAGTGACAGGACCCAAAAAGTGTGAGTTCAATAATTCTATAATTCTACACCCGGTAATGTTTATGATGATTTTATTTCCTACAGTATTAGTAAGAACCATTGTTGACGTCTGCCATTTCGTATTAATGCAAATTAATCGAGAGGAGTCGAAAAATATTTTATGGAATCATCGAAATGGATCAAAATAATGCGTTTATTTAGTTGTTACTTTTTTAAATGTAGATTAATTAAACAAATGTTAACCCGTGAAAATTTCACAGTTTTCATGAATTAAATTTCTGTAGAATTCTTCAGTTAATGACTCAATATGTTCATGGCGAGTTCTACGACAATAAAATATACGTAGACCCCCCAACACAGTATCGTTATATATATGAGCCTAACATGTTTAACATTGCAATAACATCCATAAATATGAATGCTGGTCGTTATTTAAAGGCGTAAGGGGGTACAAATAAAAAGTTTTGAAACAAACATTAAACAATTTTATATTTCTTTCTTTCATTTCTTGTTCTCATTTAAACCAAGTACCGTCTCCGATATATCTTTTGCTTTTCCACGCGATCAAAACGAAATAGACTATAATTTATGAGATACTGGCATATCGTAACGTCCGTGGGACCTAAGGAACTAACAAAGGGAGGGACAGGCCCACTAAAATAATAATAATAATAATAATAATAATGATAAACATTAGAAAACCATTTCTCTCGTGTTCAGTTCTATGCAGCTAATGCCTAGAGTAGGGAATTTTAGCGGACTTAGCATAATAACAAATGGAACTTTGAAAAATGGATGTTTTGTTGAAAATGTTATTTATATAGAAATTATAGAGCAGTAAACACTTCTATAAGAACTGCTCGTAGGATGTGAATTTGGTTAGTATTTATGAATTAATATATATTGCTATGACTGTTCTTGGAAAGAGAGAGTAGTTTGAAGTCTCCTACAAGACGATTTTTGAATTAAGAATTCATCTACAAGACTGGTTGCCAACGAAGGTGGCAGAGACTGTCATCTCTACAATTTAGCCCATTCCTTGCGTGAAGGAGAACATCATGGAAGAAAATTTAACTGCTACCTTTTCTACGCTTTCGAATTCTGAATTGTCTAGTCTCCTCATCCTGCTGCTTACATAATGCTGGCAGGGTCACCTTGCCTTGTAGTATATAAAGAAGGATCTGCAATGTTATCGATCTTGACCTGGCATTTCGGCTTCAGTCAATTTCCAACCGCCGTAGCGTAGCTTCCCTGTGTCTTTTCTATAAATACTTTCATGCTAATTGTTCTGATGAAATTTCCTCCATGGTAACTAGATTTGATGACTTGGCGGCAAGGTCTCATCAATTTACAGTTGAAATGGATGGATATAGCCGTAAGTTTTGTGTTAACAGTTTCTTACTTACATTATTTAAATTATTCAAACTGTTATTCCCCATGTTCATTGTCATATTAACAACGTTTCGGCCTTTATCCACTGGACAATGTGTCATTCAGTACATATAGCCTAGCGGATGAAGGCGTTGGTTAGATCCAGTGACTAGACCCAAAGTGTTGTGAGTTTATTACC